TACATTACATACATACATTAAATTACATACATACATACATACATACATACATACATTACATTACATTACATTACATTACATTACATTACATACATACATACATACATACATACATACATACATACATACATTACAATTACATACATTACATACATTACATACATTACAGACATTACATACATACATACATACATACATACATACATACATACATACATACATACATACATACATACATACATACATACATACATTACATACATACATACATACATACATACATACATACATACATACAAACATACATACATACATACATACATACATGTATACATACATACATACATACATACATACATACATACATACATACATACATACATACATACATACATACATACATACATACATACATACATACATACATACATACATACATACATACATACATACATACATACATACATACATTACATTACATTACATACATACATACATACATACATACATACATACATACATACATACATACATACATTACATACATTGCATTGCATTGCATTACACTACATTACATTACATTACATTACATTACATTACATTACATTACATTACATTACATTACATTACATACATACATACATACATTACATACATTACATTCAATTGAATTGGGAACCTTTATGGACCGCTTAGTGTAGTGCATAGCCGATCGAAAGTTCGTCACAATCAATGCTGACCGTGGCACATTAAATATATAGGTATGTATGTATGTAATGTAATGTAATGTAATGTGATGTAATGCCTTTGAGGATGCGTGTGTGTGTGTGTGTGCGTGTGCGTGTGCGTGTGGGTGTCTGTGTGTGTGTGCGTGTTCGTGTTCGTGTTCGTGTGCGTGTTCGTGTTCGTGTTCGTGTTCGTGCTTGTCTTGTGCTTGTGCTTGTGCTTGTGCTTTTGCTTTTGCTTGTGTTTGTGTTTGTGTGTATGTCTGGTTTTTCCCCAACAGCTGACAGCTTTGGGGTCTGGTCCGGGGCGGCCCTAAGGTAAGGTTCCACGAAGGTTCCACCAGGGCACCAGGGTTCCATAGAGTTCCACCGAAGTTCCACCAGGTTTCCACTAGGGCTCCACCAGGGTTCCACGAGGTTCTGCGAGGGCTGCGGGGTGGTGCGAGCACTAAAAAGAGCACCCCATGCTGTTGGGGATATCGCCTGAGCTTATTTTGGGGGGGAATGGGTGCAAAGTACCTGCTTCGAAGGTACCCAGGGACTCGGACACCCAAGTCAAGTTGAGTCGCAACAAAAAAAACGCGCTCGGACAAGGCTCTAAGCAGATTTACCGGAGCTTAGCGGGGGGCAGTGGTGAAGCCGTTCGTAAAGCAAAAAGCCGACTGGATATTGTATGGGTCTATTTTGGTACGAATAGTTCGGCATCTTCAAGATTGCCTCTTGCTTGATGGATCAAAACGAAACAACCCCCCAAAACCTGGTTTAAAACTAAACAACCAAGACCCAAAAGTCATCTTGAGAATTAAATGCAACGTATTGACTTCCCAGGGGATACCATCCCTTTCCAAGTGGCCATGGAAAACCATCTGACCCCCAGCCTTCTTGTCAGTAAAGAGCCGCACCCCGCGCAGGACCATGCCGTTGCTGTTGCCTATCCGGGACAGCCCTTCGGCCACGCCTTTTCGGGGGGCGTCAAAGGCGTCTGGGGCTGGAAAAACACGTGATAGATGCCCCTTGAGTTCATTTGAGGGGAAACATGTGGGGTCTAGCCAACAAACAAACAAACAAACAAACAAACAAACACACAAACAAACAAACAAACAAACAAACAAACAAACAAACAAAACAAGGGCTTTTGCTGCGTTCCTGCAAAATTCCTGGAAGCTGGGTTCGTGGACTTGTGTGGAGCGAGTCTGCCATCACAAGGGTGTCGAATCTGAACTTGCAACGCTCCCCCTTAAAGCTTCACCTCGACAGACGCTCAATCAAGCTTGGGAACCCGAGGGTGACGTTCAAGCCCGGCAACAATGGGAATCTAGTTTTACCCCAGCAGGGACAGGTTTCTCACGATGAAATCAAAGCAGAACTGGTTCTGCTCAATCCCTAAAGAGGTTCCTTAGCTTCCGAAAGCCTTGGTGCATTGCATCCCGAAAGGGAAACTCCCTCGAAAAGACACGAAAAAGGTGCCACTGGAGGTCTAAGCAATTCCTCGAACTTGACCCTGAAGCTGATCAACGTGTCAATCTTGCCCGATCGCGGGCCTCCCACTCCTTTCGAGAACTTCCACTGAAAGACCAGCTGCGTGCTTCCAAACGGCAGCCGGTAGACCTGGCATGCAAACACGCTGGTAGCGGCGGCGCTGAAGCTTGCCGGTACGACGGAAAGTCTCCAGCTTAAATCGCAACTTCTTTTTCTGCATCCCTCATTCGCGACCAATCCGGCCTTCTCGACCCAATCATGGCAACCTTCATTCGTGCGCTCGTCCAACTTGGAGAAGGTCTTGCCATCCTTGGATTGGGAGAACTTGGAGTGCTCCAACAGTGCAAAAGCTATGGTTTCCTTGCGTTTCCCTTCAAAGACCCCTGCCAAAAAGAAAAACGCACACAACACCAAGGGTAGAAACTCGGTCCCTGGAGAACCAGCCGTTGTCTTTTCAACAGCTGGTCCCCTAAATGTTGGAAAGCAGGGTCTCTGGAAATGGGGACGCCACCCCTTTGACGAGAGACTCCCATGCGCAAAATCTGCGAATCGCACCGGTTTGGGTGGTTCTTATTCATAGGTGCGAAGTGGATGTTGTCCAACAGTTGATCCCGCAAATCAACGAGAAACCCACAAACACGGTCCGGCCCCCACAAATAAGTTATCTAGCAAGGGTTGTTCTTTTTTGGATTGAGGATTCTTATAATGCCCGGATCATGTTTAAACATTCGTTTCAATCCCTCTAGGTTTGCCTTTCAGCAAACGACCTGGATTGGGTCTCTCAACATGCAACCACATTCCCTTTTGGTGTCCTTTTCGCTGTTCTCAACCACACCCGATAACCCCCCTGACTCAAGGGCCAAACTTGTTATACAGCAGTTAACTCCCACATATATATATACATATATCACCTAGAGGATCCCCTTGGCACGGCCCAGCGTCGAAGCTGCCTTCCAGGACCCATGCCGCAGGGCACTCGCCGCTGAAGGTCGTGATCCCGTAGGCAGTCACGTGCTTGGGCTCCGAAAAGCTGTAGGATAGAGTCTGGGTCGGGTAACCTAAGCTGTGAAGTGGGTTTAACAAGCCACTTTGAGTGATCTTCCAAACTCAGCGCAAACAGTGAAGCCCTTAGAAAAATCTATGTAAACTAGGGGGACCGATACACTCCGAAAAGCCAGAAGTCTAAGGAATCTAGGAGACCAAGGGGTTTCGCCAAAATGCGCAAACCCGCAAAGAGGAAGCTTCAGGTCCCCACGGTCCCCTAGCCGCTAGGCACAGGAGCCTTATGATCAAAGGGGGTCTGGAGGTAGTCCTAATGTCTCCGCCTTTCTCGACAACGGATTGGTTTGAAGAAACATGCTAGCATGAACTCAGCCACTCTCGGGGGTCCCGAATTTGGACACATTCCCGTATGAGTTGCACTACCAGATTTCATGGACCTGTCCGTTTCAACAGCGCCTTAAAGGGGGCATCCTGACTTCGCCGCATATCCTGATGCGAAACGAGGAGGCACCTGCTACTCTAGGCGTTGGTTCCCTCATTCTGTTCAACCACCGTTCCCTTTCCGAAACCCGCCGTGTTCTGAGGTGTTGGGCTGTTGTCGGGAAACATCCGGATCCCGTTCAGAATGGTTGGAAGACAATCATATAAGTAACATAAGGGACGAACCTATTACAAACAGTACATCCGATATTGATGATTTTGTTTTTCAGGTAACACAAGCCATGAAGACCGCCCCCCCCTCTCAACAACCCCCCTGCATCCCGCAGGCTTCAGTCTGAGGGACCTTTGCAGCATCCGTTCCAGTAGGTCCCCAGGTCACCGTCGAAGGCGTTGGCGGCGGGTTGGCCCTTGTAGGCGCGGCTGGCTGACGCGCCCTTGCCCGGCGTGGCGAGCACCTCGGCCGAGGCTTCGACGTCCTTGACCAAAGGGAAGCCTAAGAGACCTCAAAACGGTGATGATTGAACTGAAACCACCAAACAGTGAAACTTAGGGACTGCCAATGGCCCCAAATCGTAACCAACGGGAGAGTTTTCCTTGGTGAGTGGGCACTTTGGCGACGATGTGAGACATGGTTGTTTTCAACAAAAGGCATCTTTATCAGGGTCGTTTGAAGTCCCCAAGGTTGCTAATTATTGCTGCATGACCCAAGATTCATGAAAGAGACTCAGCCCCCATGTTGAGAAGAGCAACAGTAGGCCCAGAACAGAGTGCCAACCTCACCGCGCAGTTGGCGCTGCAAGGCGGCATTGTCACCATACACATGACGTGGTTGTGGTGCTACTTGCCACAAGTATTACCTGATGGGGGAGCTTCTCCCTGATAATGGGGGAGCTTCTCCTATTTTAAGGAGGGAAATCATAGAGAAAAAACATCACTTGGGGACAAGCAGGCAAGCGCGCGAAACTAATCATCCGAACTGACTAGGCGGTAAAGTCTCCTGGCTCTTTGAAATTAACACCTTGGGCGAAAGTGCGAGAGGTCGGGCAACCAGGCGCTAGCCAAAAGTTGCATGTTCGGACCGTGGTAGCCGTAGTTCCCACCCCCGCACCACGATCGATAGCCCTGGGCGAGTCCACCACCTGTCTCACAGGGGTCCTGACCACCTCATATGCCTCATCCACCAAAACCTGGGGTGGCTGAAGGTTGAAGGCAAGCACCAATGCGTCCCTCCACCACCACCTGAAAGTCCTCCTAGTCCGTGGGAGACAACCTGCCCTGCAATCGGCCGACACGGCCAAACTGGAAGGCTTGGGCCAACGGCTGACTCACAAACCGGAACTACGGAATCGCCAAGTAGCGTACCTTCACCCCCGGATCGGTGAGCTCTGGAACTAGTTTTGCCGAAATCCATGTCACCAAGAGGGTATGTGTCGCAAAAGGGAGTCCTTGAACCGGGGGGAGGGGGGGTGATTTTCCGTACACAACAAAACGAGGCACACCCAAGTGGAGAATAGGTGCCATCTACTTCTGCCCAACTGTAGCAGCCTTAGTTGCGTTCTTATGTTGGAAACTGGTGGACGGGGCTAAGGAAAAAGGGGGGGGGGGGGTTGGAGAAGCAGGCGCCATCCACTTTCACTGCCGAGGCACAAACTCCTTGTAAGTTGACGCAAAGCTCAAGGTGTACACCATCTCCTTGACTCGCTGGGACTTGCGTTTTCGACTCCCTGTTCAAGTTTGGCTGTGATTTGGCCAGGTTTGACTGGGACTGGCCCCTTTTGCAACTTGTTTCAGGTTGGACTTTACATGGCGGTTGTTTCCCCCCGTTTTGTTTGCCGTTAAGGCAGAGCTAATCCTCTTCACTTTTGAAGCCCTCCCAAATGGCAAACAAGCCTATGCAAGGTGTTGCGGACCGTATACCGTACCTCCAAGGGGAATCCCTTCGGCTTATGGCGCAAGCATACATTTGACTATAGTGAGAAAAAGAAAAGGATCACAGAGGGAGAGCCTGAGATTGCACTACTTCTTGTCGTCACGAGTATGCTTGGCAGCGCTAATGGAAACCTATTTTTACTCTCAAATCCTAGCTGCAAATTAGTCAAACATGTAGCCCATGATGTTCACGAGCATGAGTGTGACTGTTGCCCTGACCACCAGGCCACAAGTAAGGCCTCCTTTTTGCAAACCAAGCGGCCGGCCGCCCGGGCGGGCCCTCAACGGGCCCCGGGTGCACCGCCAGGAGATCCCCAGTGCCTGCCACCACGAAGCGAACCGTGGGCTTCGAGTCCGTCAACTCGTGCGCCGTGCCGTCGTGCCGGATGAAGTGCCTTTGTCACATCTCGGGTTTGAGACATGGGAAAACTGAAAAAAACTGAGGGGGGGGGCATCGATTCGAGTTGGTGCTTGCTTGTCGAACAAAGAGTATCAACGTTGCCCAGGGTCGCTCAGAAGCCGGGTCGGCGGGGTAGGAAATTGACAGCCTGGTATCAGGTGTGCAGGAGTACTCCATAAGCGGCACGGGGTTGGCACATTTGCAT